AACTGATAACAAGACTACTTCTCTTCTTCTCTACTTACATGTTGGATATTATTTGAGTAGAAAATTTTAAGTAAATCATCTACATCATGACCTGAGAGTTGAAGTAGCAAATCTCCCACCATATTTTATGTTAAAAAAAAGAGCGTCACGTTTTAATCTAAACATTATTTTATGACCTCAAGAGATTAGGAGTCCTATCTTCTGATCCAAAATTTTGGTCTCTTTCAAATTTATGAATAGTAAAATTTAAAGGTATTTGTCAAATGATCTTTGCAAAATTTGTCTCTAATTTAATGGTTAGTTTACAGCACCCTGCTAATGGCAACGATCAAAATCAGACATCATATGGATATATTCATGCAAGTCTCCCTACGTGGTCTGAAATTCATTTTAAACTATTGGCTGATCATAGATTCCTTTAGTTTATTAATGATACTTATAATTTTTTTTTTTAATTTTATAAAACTCATAGTTGAGATTTGGGAGGTTATTTTTTATCGGTAATGATGTGGACTCATAAGAGAATCAAAACTTAGAAGTAATCATTTCATTTTTTTTTTTTTCATCCATGCTTCATTTTCATTCTAAAACTTTTAAATGATAAAAAAATTAAAAATGATCGAAAACACTTATAAATAAAATTTTAATTTCATAAATAAAATTTCAACCTATAATGATTATAAAGAGATGAAAAAATAGATGCATGTATTTTTCTAACTCAGGGAAGAGTTAAAATCTCACTCCGAAACAAAAGAACTTGCGCTGCCCACAAAGAGATGGGAATTGACTTTATCTTCACTGTATATATTATGAAATAATAATAATAATAATAATAATAAGACTTTACGCCTATTGGGAAAACAATTTATGCCTTAATACTATTAAGAAAACAATTATATGTTCGGAAAATAGATGAGAAACTTGGATTGGATTTAAATTTGTCATTAAGATTGTGATAAAAAGTTGCATTTAAAAGTGAAAATTGTGATTAATGTATTATTAAAAAAAAAAAGAGAGACAAAATTTGCAGTAACTCCAAATGAAGTTATTGCTTTAATTTACTATTTGGGCTTTCTTTCATAATTTTGTTGGTTTAGCCCTAGTATTTAACGTTGCAACAAACTTTATAGCTTTAAGAGCAATGACAAATGAAGCTTTAATAGATTTCTTTTTTTTTTCTTCAATTTAATAAGTAATAATTTCATCATATTTATTCAAAACACGTTTTTCATGCTATGGCCTACTATATGAATCGATGATATTGAACAAAACTGAGAAAACAATTTTCCCTGTTTCTTCATTAGTCATTGTTTTTGGTCTAAACAATTTAACTTTATGTCTCTAAAGTAAACAGAAAATCTTGGTTTTTCAAGATACACTCTAAAAAGAAATGAATCATGTATATTTCCGAGCTTACACTTTCCTTTTTTTTTGGCTTTTGGCCCCAAGAGCCAAAAAAGAAAAAGGTTCTTTCTAAAAGTATGAAAAAAGAAAAAGTGGAGCTTTATTTGGATTTAATGGTGATATTAGAAAGAAGCAGTACTTCTTTGGAACGGGCCATGAATAGGGGTGAAAGCAAAAGCCTTGGCATATGTGTTGACTGAGAAAGTCAAGCAAAAGAGCGAGGCTAAACCGCGTAGCCTGACGCCCTTATCCTACAAATCTGTGGTAGACTTGGAAGGGCCCTATAGCTAAAATATTTTCTTGGTGGGGACTCTTTCGCCACTTGGCTTTTAATTCCTCGATCACCTTGCAGCTAGTAGCCAAGATCTCACTTCATGGGCCATGAAGAAATTCTTGTGACTGGGTTTCACATGTCCATTTCAGCATAATGCTATATATACATTCACAAGTCATAATTTTTACTTATCTCTTATTAATTTAATTAGAGAAGTCATTCGTTCATTCTTTTTTTTTTTTCAATTTTAATTGTAATTCAAATTCGAGATTCTTCATTGTGGAGTCAAACCTAAAATCAATGAAGCATTAATTCATTAATATTTTTTATACAAAAACAGTTGCAACTTGAGAATAAAAAAATATTATTATAAGTATTGAAATTTAAAATTCAAATTTGTTATGTGATCCAATTAAACTAAACTCATTGATATTTTTTTCATTTTTTTCGTTATATTTATTTATTAAGTGGAACCAAACAGAGAAGAACATAACTAAAAGTTAGCCAATGAAACTCTGTTAAAAGGACTTACAACCTTTAGGTCATTGGTAACATAGCTCCATTAATTGTGAAACTCTTTAATCAAAATGATTAAATGAAGATTAAATTAAATCTAAATAAAAACTTGTGGATTGTTAGAGTTTTGTTGAATTGATTTTATTTAAATAATGTTCTCTATGAATGATTATGATAATCTTTTTAATTGTGATATCATTTTCACTTATTCTTAATATTATTTGTCAAATCATGAAATTCTACTGCTATATTCTCTTTTCAATTTTTTACTTTAATTTTCATTTAATCAAAGTTTGTGAACTTAATTTGCCTCAAAACCTTCATGTAACTATTGTTTTACTCTTAAGTAAATATATTTCTAAACTCATGTCATGTTTCATCCAATTTTGACCAGCTTAATTATGAGCACATGGCTATTTTTGATCAAATTATATATCACTAATTTAAGAGCAAATGACTGGGTCAAGTTGACGTAGGAGTCAATGAACCAATCAACTATGCTAAAATTCCTATGCAAAGAAAAGACTTACTAATTTAATTGTATACTCATTCTTTGTTCATTTTTTTAATGACTTAAGGTAATGTTTTTTAACACTTAAATCTTATTTTTAATATTCCAAAATAATTTTTTAACTTTTTTTTAAAAATTTTTTTATATTAAAATTTATGGCACATCAAATTTAAAAAAACATTAAAATTAAAATTTTTTTCTTAAATTGCACGAAAATTACTAGATTAAAATATGTGATGGAAGGGAGTATATTATTAATTAATTTCTAGAATGAGGAAAAATCCAACGAACGGAGAAGAAAGGTCACGCCCTCCAACTGGCCAATGACCATTCTAAAGTAACCAAAACCATCTAATTCTAATAAATCTATTCTACAGGAAAGAAAGAAAGTTGCTTCAACTTTTTTCCATCAAATCATTCTTTTGCGTTATTGTTGTTTATATGATTACTTTTTCATCTAAAATATTAAATATGATACTAATATTTAACTCAGGTTCACATTTAACAACTCCTTTGTTTCACTTTCTCCATTGTATAAATTATTGCACTAAATTAATTACATTAATTTGGGTTTGTTTAGTCTAATTTGTTGTTTATCAGTGGGGGTCATTGTCAATGGGAAAGGAATTAGTTACTGTTAATATATATTAGAATTAGACGCACATTGTAACGTGAGATTAATTTTTTATTTTTAAATTATATTTTAAAAATGACAAAAGTAAAATTTTTATATCAAATTTTAATGGGTGACAACGTATAAACAAATATAAGTATATTTATTTTTAATATAAATTATAATTTAATTATTTATAAATATAATTTTTATAAAATTAAAGTATTAAATTATATTTTTAAATAAAAAATATATAAAAATAGAATTAAATAAATAATTAAAAATAATTTTTATATATTAAGGTTGAGGCGTAATACTCAAAATGTTATTTTTATTTGAATTCGATTTAAAAGAACTCAACCCAAATTATCTCAAATTAAAAAAAAAAAAGCACACCAATTAGATCGAGTTGAATTTAAACCTATCGGATATAGATTATTTAGTTATCTCTATTTCAATGGATTTTTTATTATAAAATTTATCTAATAAAAAATAAAAGTAAAACTAATTTTTTTAAAAAAGAAAAAAATGTAAAAATTAAAAAACAAATAAAATGATAAAAACAAAAAGAATGAGGTGTCTCATGGACACTCAAGTTGGAATGGGATATTTTAAATCCATTTTTAACCTAATCACATTTAAAAGAAAAAAAAAAAAAAACCTCGACTAGATTTTAATTTAAAAAAAACACATTTATGTTGAATTATTGGAAATAAAAATTAATTAGAAACAGATTGTTCTATCATCTCTTAACTCCATAAATCATCTAATAAAAAATAAAGTTAAAAAATCTAAATATAAAAGTTAAATATAAAAAATTAAAAAATTAAAAATAAAATGAATGAAGGATGAGATGTTACGCAAACATCCTTCTTTCCTTTTTCTTTATAAAATTAAGTATATGATATGTCTGTGTCATTGCTAATCGAGCAAATCGTATAAGAGATTTGGACAATGAAAGTTTTATCTTTTTTAATTTTGTAAAATCTTTGAATTATATATAGGATTTAATGGTGAAGACCTTTATGTGAAAGTATTGTTGAAGTTTTAAAAAAAAATTTAAAATTGTATCAGCAAACCTTTGTCTTTATTAATATTCATGACCTCATAAGTAAAATATATCTTTGTTTTTCTTTTCTTTTTACCTATTTTTATAAAATAGGTTGTAACTTGAAAATAATAAAAGAAATTGTAGGTATTAAAATTTGAATTATATATTTATTAAATGTTATTTTTAAAAATAATCATAAAAATTAATTAAATTTAAATTTAAATTTTATGAGTACGCTTCTTTTACCGCTAAAGATGATTACACGATTGGAATTTAAAATTATATATTTTTATACTTTTTACAAAATAAGTTGTAATTTGAAAATAATAAAAAAATTATAAGTATTGAAATTTAAATTTTAAATTTATTGAATATAATTTTTTTAAAATAATTATATAAATCAATTAAATTAAATTTTAAAATTTGAGTATACTTCTTTCTTCGTCAAGATGATTACAAGACTGGAATTTAAAATTGTAATGAGAGTTACACATATGCGTCGTTAATATTTTTATGTATTTTATTAGAAGAAGAAGATTCAAAACCGACTTTGTAAACAAAATAATAATAATAATAATATTTTGTTTGTGCTGACTCTGAATGGTCCAGTGCATGGAGCTAAAGTGAAAGAGCTGAGTTAAGTAAACTTGGTGGGGTCAGCTTGTAACGAAGGTCATCAACGGTTCCTGGAAGTTCCAAAGACATATCCATGCAGCTCAGGTCGTAACAAATTCTCAATCCCGAACGGTCTATAAATACCGACAACATGTTTCTGCCTCGTTCAAAACAAAACAAGTAAGCAGTAAGTTCCTTTCTATCTTCTTCCTCCAAACATCTTTCCCTCGCCATCACCATCATTTTCCTACTCTCTTGAAGTCTATCTTAACAGATAAACGACACCATGAAGGTATGAAAACGAATCATGAAATTAAAAGTTTCTTTGATTGAAGAATTTTATGCTGAATTGAAATTTTCCTTTTTGCAGCAAACGATTGTAGTCAAGGTAACTATGAATGGAGACAAGTCCCGCTCCAAGGCCTTGAAAATTGTAGTCGGTCTCTCAGGTAGTAAAAACAAGCTGAAGCCCACTTTGATTTCATTCATTCTGATAATAAAATATTGAGAAAATTTTTATGCTGATTGCTGCTTTTTTTTTTTCTTTATTGTGTGTGTTAAGGAGTGGAGTCTGCTTCATTGAAAGGCGATGACAAGAGTCAAATAGAGGTAACAGGAGATGGGTTTGATCCAGTTAAGTTAACAAGTAAGCTAAGAAAGAGTGTGGGGCATACAGAGCTTGTGAGCGTAAGTGCCGTGGGTGGTGAAAAGAAGGATGAGAAGAAAGATGAGGAAAAGCCAGCGGCGTATGTGTGGCCATATAATCAACCTTTATATGTTCATCAAGCGGTGCCATCATATGGATATGTTCAGCAGTATGACCCTTGCACCATCATATAAGAGACAGAGATTTTACAGGGGACAACAAAAGAGACATGCAGCTGAGCTCGAGAAATTTAATACTATATCTCGCAGTTCTCGAACAACATGTCAACAGAGCTCTAATCTCTACACTTCATATCATGAAGGAAAATTAAAATTTAAACAGATAATAGTGTCCATGTGAGAGAAACTTCTTGTGCTTTCTTCTTTCTTTTCTTTTTTTTTTTTTTCAGTTCTGAATTTTATCATATATGGTCGTGGGATAACAAAAAAGAGTTGGTGGAGGAATGAGAAGGACTAGATTTCTGATAATGAAAGTGTGATAAAGGTTTTGTTTGATGTCACCTAATTGTTGATTAAATTTTGATGTTGTCATCTCTGTTTTATTCTTTGTTTTCTCCCTTCACTTAACCCAATATTTTAACTCATATAAGGGGATCAGTGAAGTACGATGTTGGGAAAAGAGAAAAGACTTTCAGTTTTCCTTTTTTCCTTTTAAAAAAACATAAGGAAACATGGTCAATCTTTCAATCATGCAAATATAGGATGTTTTCTCTTCTTATAATTACTCAAACCAACTTTATTTCTACAACTATAAGCCAATGGTTAAGCAATAGTTCATTAATTACTCCTTCAATTTTTGTTTCATGCAAATGGTTTTTAATTGGTTGTGTGGTTCAAAGTAATTGAAATAATTGAATGTAAAATTTAAATGATTCATATATAATCACTTTTAAAATATTGTAGACACCAAATTTTATCCGGATTTATATTTTTAAATAATAATAATAATTTTTTAAAAATAATAATAATAATAATATTGGTTTAATCATATTTAAAAAAAAAGAAAAGAAAACAAACGAAAAATCCAAACAGAAGAAACAAAATGGAAAGGGCTGGTGCCAGCGGGTGCCGTGCACGGCACCGCTGGCCACCCACGCCCTGCCACTACCCCAACCATCATACCACCCTTCGTCCAGTCCCTCCACTTCATCAGCACACACAACTACCGTTTCAACCATATAAAACATTTGATTCTTCCTCCTTTCAGAGCGACTAAAAACGATCGGTTATCCTCTCACCAGAACACCAAAAAACAAACACACACCTCTACCAACAACCTCTCAGACGAAAAAAATCCAAACAACCCCCCAAATACCCAAATAGAAAAACAAACAGAACCACGAAAATCAACATAAAAAAATCATAAAACAGAAATCACAATCCTCGTCGAATCGACGAAGAACCTAGCGCCAAAGAGATACTTACAACAAAAAAGAAAGGTTATTAGTTTGAGTTTTTTAAAAAAAAAAAAGAAAAAGAGAGAAAAAAAAGAAAAAAAAAAGAACAGAAAACTTTAAACCCCGATCTATGTCGATTGGGGTCATTTCCGAGGAAGAGGAGACCGGATCTGGAAAGATCACATCGAAAGGAGCTTCCATAAGGATTTTAGAATTTTCAATCACCGACGACCACCATCGACGGTGGCCCAGGAGACGGTCGGTGCAACAGTCCAACGACTGGATTCCGGTGGGGGTCGGAGAGAACCCAAAACTTTGAAAAAAAATTTTTTTTTTGTGGAAACAGAAAAGTGTGCTGAAAAAAAAAATCTGATTTTTATAGAAAACATTAAAAGCAAAACGACGTCGTTCTAAGCATAAAGCCAAAATGACGCCGTTTCAGGCCAAGGAGGATCCGCGCGTTGACCCGGATCTGACCCGGGATTCGCACAACCCGACTCGTTGACCCGTTCTTTTCCATAGTTGCTGACCGATCTAATTGAACTGGACTAAACTGGATCGAACCGCTCTCTAGACCGGTCCAAACCGTTCCTCAATCGGCTCAACCAAACTGCGCGACGAACCGACCCATTTTCGGTCCAACCGAACCACCGTTGACTGGACCATTGACTTGTCCAGTTCAGGTAAAAAAAATTTTTTTTTTGAATTTTCTAATTTTTTTATATAATATTATTTTTGTTATTTTAAGTATTTTTTTAATATATATTTATGCATGATAAGTTTTTAATTTGTTAGGATAAGTTTTTTAATTGTTTTAATAATAATAAAAATGAAAGTAAGTAAGATAATAATTAAAAATATATATTAAAAATGCTTAAGATAATAATCATGATAATAGAATAATTATTATTATTTTTTCTGCCTAGATGTTGGAGGGAATAAAAAATATTTTCCTAAAAAAATAATTTCGCCTAGATGTTAGGGAATTATTATTAATAAATTTTCATAAAAAAGGAATATATAAAAAATTTATTGATTAATTTTCAAAAGTCATTAAAATCGAACTTGCTCCGAAAATTCGCCTAAATGTTGGAGATTTTTATAGATGTTTGTATTTTCTTAAAAACGAAACCTTAAACACTAATTCTTAATTTTCAAAATCCTAAAATTCAAAACCCCAAAAAATCCAAAATCTCAAACCTTTAAACTCTTAAATCCAAACCCCTTAAAATTCAAACCTTTAAATCAAAACCCCAAACTTAAACCGTAAACCTTTACCCTAAATCCTAAAAATCCTAAGGACACGTGTGAAAATTTCATTTAAAGCAATTTGTTCTCGAATGTCACCTAGATGATAGGGTGTTTAGGAAATTTTGCTTCGTTAAGTTTTTTCACATGATTTTTTAATTCGCATTAATAATAAGATTAATAAATAAAAAGTATAATAATAAGATGAGATCTCAAATATAAATAGTCGCACCTAAGCTCTGCCTAGATGTTGGAGAGTTAAGGTGGTCTCATTATATTTAAGAATCCAATTTCAAGTTTGCATTCCATCATTATACATAGCACCTATTAGCTTACATGCATTTATTTGTTATTGTTTGCACTTGTTTGCATTTTTCTATCTTTAATTTCTACTTGTTACCTGATAACACCATCATTTACATTTTCGTATAAAATGTGTAATTTTAAAATAAAATAAAAAATAACATTCCAAAGGAAATAATTCTTAGTACTCTTTCTAGATGTTGGAGAGTCACTAACAATTATCTTCTATAAAGATTGTTATTTTATTTTAAGGATTGTTGTGTTAAATCTTAAGCGAAAAGAATTATTTTAAATTCTGCCTAGATGTTAAAGAATTTTAAGATAATTCTTTAACTTAAAGATTTTCTTGATATTATTAAATAAAGAGCTTTAGTAAAATTTTATTTTTGCAAATGAAGGGAATTAATGTTAAATTTTAAATTGAAACCATTTTTATCCAACACCGAAAATAGCGCGTAATTAAATGATACCAATTTATGGGCGTTGTGGGGGTGCTAATCCTTCCCTACACGTAACCGACTCCCGGACCCAACCTAATTTTTTACAGATCAAAATTTATCTTTTTGATAAACCTTAAAACTCATTTTTATAGTTTTATTAAAAAGATAAACTTTTGGGTGTCCAATCACAACCTAACAAAGATTGGTGGCGACTCCCCTTTTATTTCTCTCGATTTTAAAACCCTTTACGTCTGGTGGTCCTAAAACCGTTACGACAGCTTGGCGACTCTGCTAGGGACTTTTGAAAGTCAGGCCAAATTTTAGTTATGCACTATTAATAGCTGTTGGATTTAATTGGTTTTATCTGATATTTAATTTAATTCTTTTTATTTTAATTTTTAAAAATATATACATACAAGTTAATAAATAAAATAAATTGCTTGTTAGCTGTTACTTTATTTTGATTTTGTGTTTATGATTTATTCATGTTATTTTGATTAATACATTACTTCGCACACACTTTGCATATTTACTCACATGCATGAGCTCTAGACCCGGGCTCTTTCTCTTTTAGGAGGAATTGAAATAGCTACGCTCTCGTGAGGTGATAACCTCCGTATTTGCTAGCAAAACACTTTCACTCAGATTGAACCTTACTAGTCTATAACGGACGATGATGTGAGGAATAGTCTGGGAACCGTTAGACGCATAAACCTTAACCCAGCATATCATGAGCCATAAGAAGCTAGCCTAGGGTAGAGCCTTGCCGATCTCTTTATAGAAATAACTAAAAATGGATGATAAAAGAAAAGCATTTTCTAAAAAAAAAAAAATTTTCTCTTTACATGTAGTTCATTCATTTGGTAATTGTTCAAATTTTACAATTTTATAAAATATTTAGAATAAAGTGATTTTTTTTAAGCATTATCCAACAAGCCAAAAAAAAAACAAAAAGGTTTTCAAAAAAATTAAAGATTTTTCTTAAATTCTTTGTTTATTGGCCCAATCAAAAAATCAATTTTCATGTCCTAGTTATTTTGTTTTTCCCTCTAAAAAATTTTTTTTTTTATTTTTTGTTTCATCTTTTGCATTTCATACATCATAAAAAATAATACATGTATCTCATCCTACATACATCATAAAAGGTAGTGTCAGTTTCACTAGGTTGGCATAATACAAGCATTGCATTCCATGTAAAAATAACATGCACTTGATAGGTTCATGCATTTCATACAAGTATGTTGTATTAGTCATAGGAATACATCTCATCATTCATGTAAATATGTCATTGCATTTCATGCATATAAATTCATGAATGGTAGAGTCGTATGGAACAAACGTTACATTTCATATCCCACTATCCCTGCAACATAACATTCCTTACATACACATTCATGGTTGATAAAAATTTTCATTTGGGTTTTGTACATATAAAAATTCATTGTCATAGGCATATATGCATTTCATGACATTCTGTAGTCATCGTATTCATGTATTCATACTTCGTGTGTGATTGTTTTTGTGATATTCATTCAATAAGGGTAGTAATCTAGAATTTTTTGTCTAAGTCCTAGAATAAAATGTCTGTCTTTGTGGGAATCAGAGTCACAAAAATGGGAGATCAATTATAAGCAAGGATTAGTGCTTTGAAGTTGAATCAAGAGGAATTATGGCTTGAGCTTCGAGAGATGGAACGACAAATGGCTCAATTGATAGAAATGGTTAAAAGTAGTAGTATGGTTAAGTTAGTTGCTCCTCAAAGATCGTTGTCACTTCTGTCAAGCCAAGGTCAATTAGCTCCCGTTAGTTCCAGCACTCTGCCAGAGCATGCTAAAGCATTGGGTGATTTGAATAGTGACCAAGGTTTGGGCAAACTCAAGAGAAGAATGGGTGAACTAGCCATGCAAATGACTGAGCTCAAAAGTTTAATTTTCAAGAATGAGCCAGCTGGCTTCAAACAACCTTCACAAACTATCTTGAGTCTAAACTCGCACCCAAATCATTCTTATGACCATTTTCAACCTCATTTCCAAACACCGAGGATTAGGCCCCCAATTTTCATGCAACCACCAAGAATTTCACACCTGAACCCATATCCACCATCTCATATTT